GGCCGGTTAGCTCAGTTGGTTAGAGTTCAGTGCTCACAAAACCAAGGTTGCTGGTTCAATCCCTGCATGGGCCGCTGAGCTGCACTGTGCCCTCCACAACTAGATTGAAACAACTACTTGACTTGGAGCTGATGGGTCTTGGAAAAACACACTGTTCCCCAATTAAAAATAAAAATACATATTTTCCTTTTACCCTAAATCAAGTGATGTAGTGATTCCTACTCCTGTGGTCTTGAGGTGACCTAAAATGTAGCACAAAAGAAAAAGAAAATAATTGCCTTTTGCACTTGTAAGCTTGTGAACTTGGGAGTCTGAAAGTGAACGTGCAGGTAAGGGGACAGTAATTGGGGATGTGGAGTAGTATTTCTGTAATAAAGATAAGTTTATTCTACTCAAAAGCAGCATCTTAGTAAGTCTCTAGATCATTCCCAAGGCTCAGTCTGAGTGTGGTTGTAAGAATAGATGTTCCCTGAGACTGTGTGTGTTAGTTTCCTATGGCTGCTGTAACAAAGCACCACAAACTGGGTGGCTGAAAACAACAGAAATGTATTGTCTCATGGTTATGGAGGCTAGAGGATCAAACTCAAAGTAGTGGCAGGACCATGCTTTCTCTGAAACCTGCAAGAGAGTCCTTCCTTGCCTCTTCCTAGCTTCTGGAAAAGCTTCCTAGTGTTTTGCCAGCAATCTTTGGTATTCCTTGGTGTGAAGCTGCATAACTCTAGTCTCTGCTTACATTTTTACATAGCATTCTCGCTTTGTGTCTCTGTATTTCACGTGGTTGTCTTCTCATAAAGACACAGTTATATTGGATTAGGGGCCCACCCTATTCCAGTATGACCTCAACTAATTACATCTGTAACAACCTATTTCCAAATAAGGTCATATTTTGAGGTACTTTGTGGGGGGATTGGTGCTTCAACGTATTTCTTTGGGGGAAGACACAATTCAACCCATAACTATGTGTTAAGCAAAGAGCAGATTCTAGTACTAACTCTGTCACTAAATTCCTATGTAGCAAGCATTTCCATCTCTCTGGACTCACTGTGGGAGTTGGAAAAGTTGACCTCTATTCTAGTAGCCTGAGATGGGGCCATGGCCTCTGGTCATAGACCTCTGGCCCATGGACGTTTCTGTTAGGACAGGGTACGACTCACCAGGCTTGAAATAATGAAACTCCCCTTTCTGCCCCTGAAACGGACTCCTCCTTCAGTCAGTTGTTAGGCTCTGGGAATTTTTATTCTGAGACTTTATTTATCTTCTGTGCTGAGCTGGCTGGCTCTGCAGCATGCCATGATGCAATGAAGAAAAAAGTATAAAGAAGGAAGTTCAGGTTTATAAAGAACAAACCATAGAACTAAAGAGAAAACCGAAAAGATGACCAGAACTCCAATAGGTTAATAATGATAGATTGCAATTCTGCCACTGGCTGAAGGGATCAAGTGAAATTATTGTCTGGTACTCAAGGCAGACTTTGTCACGTGACCATGTTTTTCCAGTGGATGACTTCATTACGCTGAAATAGATGTGTTTATGATCAATCATCCAAATAGCATGTTCAGAGCTAATTAAGTTCATACGTAAAGTCGCCAGTGCCTTTAATTTCAATATAGATCATTTCTTTTAGAAATGTTGTCATTCTTTTCACAACATCTGATATTCCCTGTCTGGATCAATGCCTCCTCCCAACCGCCCATAGTGACCTATAATGACTTCTGTTCTCATCTACTACTCCCGCTGTGAAAGCCCACTCAGAAGGGATATCAAAGGGCTCTCTCCACTCTCTAGGTAATTGCTGGGTTTTGCATGTGGGCTCAAGAGTAATAACATGTGAGATCTCACAAATCTATCAACACTGTCACTCAAGAGAGGGAGCCTGTCTGTGTCCAGGTTTCTGATGCCCAGAGCTTACTTCCCCGGGTCTCATGCCCTGGGCTGAACTCAGCCCTGTGCTCCTCGGACAGCTGACTGTTAGTAAAATACCCAGAAACAAATGAACAGACAACAGTTAGTTGCTTTCCCCTACATCAGCAATAACCGGTTAGAAGGCTTCCTCTGGAAGGAACATTGCAGACATAGGTGGGAGACAGGAGAATAGTGACATGCGTGCCACACATTTGCCACCTTGCTCATCTAGATCAAAAGAAATAATAGTCTCACTGTATTCTGTGGTGCCTGCCAGACCACATCTGGACACTGTATCTTGTAATGTCATTGATAAAACAGACATGGGAAATCAGAATATTGAATAGTCAGAAAATTATGGCCTATCAAAAATGATTACAGAGAGAGGGGGATATTTAAACTGAATATGGTAAGACTGAAGGGAAGCAAGAAAACAATGCTCTAACAGTGGCGGAGTCACGAAGACAAAAGCAGATTTATTCTGTGTTCCTCTAGGGTTGTGATGTTCTAATGCAGCCACTTTAATGCCATTCCAGCATTTTCACTGCCACCCTTCATGGGCCCATTCTAGTTTGCGTGAGTCGAAAGGTCTTACTAAGGAACATTTTAATAGCAACCGCTTTTCTGAGTTCATATTTTTATTGTCCTTAATTTTCCTTCAACTTGGCACATTTATTTTCAAACCCTGGTTTAGACTTCTCTTACATTTTTGTTTACATGAATGTAAATTGCTAGGAAATTTCCTCACCATTATTCTGTAATTAAAAGTCAGTGGAATTCTCTTATGTTAGTGACCAGTAGGCCTTTATTTCCACAAATAATTAATGTATTAAAACATGATTTCACAAACAAATTTTAAAGAACATTTCAAAAAAGCAACTCTCATTTTTAAAAAACAGCTTTATTGAGATCTATTTCATATACCATAAAATTCACCCATTTAAAATGTATAATTCAATGGTTTTTAGTACTTTCACAGTACAGCATGCTAGAATTCACAGTATACATCATACAATGTTCACATTGGGCAATTATCATTACAATCTAATTTTAGAGCATTTTATTAACTCTAAAAGAAACCCTGTAACCACTAGCAGTCACTCTTGACCTCTCCTAATGCTCCTAGCCCTTGGCAACTGCTAATCTACCTTCTGTCTCCATATATTTTCATCTTTTGGACATTACATGTAAATGGAATCATACACTATGTGGTCTTTTGTGCCTGACTTCTTTAATTTAATAGAATGATTTCAAGGTTCATCATGTTCTAGCATGTATCAGTTATTTCATTCCTTTTTATTGCTGAATAATATTCCATTGCATTATAGTAATCTGTTCACCAGTTGATGGACATTTGGGGTGTTTTTGCTTTTTGGCTAAGATGAACAATGCTGTTGTGAACATGCAGGCATAATATTTTGTGTGGATGTATTTTTTTATTGTCTTGAGTATATGGGTAGAAGTAGAATAGCTGGGTCTCAGGTTTAACATGAGGAGAAACTGTCAGACTGTTTCCAAAGTGGCTACCCACTTTACAAACAATGCATAAAGGTTCCGATTTCTCCTAAATCTTGTGTAAGCTTGTTATTGTTTCTTTGTTTGTCGATTATAACCATTCTAGTGTGTGTAAAGTAGTATCTCATTATGGTTTTTCTTGGCATATTTCTAATGGCATTTTTTTCCTATGTGTTTATTGGCCATTTGGAAAAGAATCTATTCAGATCCTTTGCCCATTTTTAAAGTGCGTTATATGTCTTTTTGTTATTGAGTTGTAAGAGTCCTCTAAACTTTGTGGCCATCAGTCTCTTATCAGATATATATGCATATGTTTTGCAAATATTTTATCCCATTCTGGTTGTCTTTTTGCTTTCTTGATAGTATTGTTTGTAGCACAAAAGTTTTTAATTTTGATGAAGTCCAATTTATTTATTTATTTAAAAAATCTTTCTAAAATTACCTTGAATGGGGAGGTAATGGTTAGTAGATAGGTTTTAAGTGTACAATTCTATAATACATCATCTCTATATTGCATTGTGTTTCTCTTGTCACTTGTGCTTTGCCTAAGAAAGACAAAAAAACATTGTCTAAGTTAAGGTCACAAAGGTTTACTTCCATGTTTTCTTCTAAGAGTTTTATTAATTTGGCAGTTGCCATTTATACCTATGATCCATGACAGATGGTAGGAATCCATTTTCATTCATTTACTTGTGGATATCCAGTTGTCCCAATACAATTTTTTAAAAAACTATTCTTTCCCCATTAAATTGTTTTGGTACCTGTGTCAAAGATCAATAGACACATTGTTTTTTTATTTTTATTTTTATATGTTACCTTAAAATTCTTTTCCATATTTAAACTGTTTTAATAAACATACTATTTTGTATTCTTCTTAAAATTTAAGTAAACATCAACGTTTTCTAGATCTCTACAGAGAATTTATATGTGTATGCTTCATCACAGTGATGTATTGTATTTTACCATACCATTTCAATATATTAATATTTGGATCCTTCCTTGTCACATTGTATTGATTGAAAAGAAAGTAAGTTGAATTTTGATTGGTTGAGTTTGAAAGAAGGATTTTGAAGATCAACAGCTTTTGACTTAAACATACAGGAAATAATATTTTCTTTCATCAAGGGAGTGAAGTTTTTATATTTTCAGAATTTAGGGCAGTGATGTGAAAGTATCAAATCAGATTGTGAATGAGATATGAAAAGCCTCAAATACTGAGCATTTTGATGAAGATAGTTATTTCATATTGAGCAGGTTTTTTAGAAGTTTCTTTATGAAGAAGAGTAATTACAAAGTTTGAAAAAGAAATTGAATAACAATGGGTGTTTTTCCTGGGAATGTTATAGGTTGGGTTAGAAGTTCTGTGAAAAATGAAAAAGACAAACAAGAAATTCCAAACTGCTAATTCAGGTGTCGTGTTTCAGGTGATAAAGATAAATTGCTGTCTTTGATACTGAGAAAAGAAACACAAAATGGCTCCAAATGAACATACTGTTTATTTTTATTCCTGTAATATAAAAAAAAAACAAACAAACCTGGCTTAGGAAAGATAGAACATAATTTTTTGTATCTGTTTCCCTTAGGTGCTATCATCAGAAAATGAAAAGACAGAGGTATTTTCCCCCAGGACTTTCTTTGTAGAGGTGATAGTGAGATCTTCACATAAGGCACTGGTTCCAGGAAAGGTGAGATTAGCAGATATCTTTCATTAAACCTTCCTATCACTGAAACTATGTACTAAATTTAAAGGTTTGAAAATACCAAAACCATGATTGAATGGCCATTTATAGCCAACTTTAAAGAGTGGTTTTGAATTGACCTTACCTCTGGGACCCACAACACCACTTAATGCAGATCATAAAATGTAATCGGGTAACCTTTTATAACACTAAGTGTTATTTGCAGAGAAAACACTTTGGGATGTTCACTCTGCAGTGAGAAAGAAAAAAAAAAGTAGGTAGTTGGGTTATAGGAGTGCAACTGTGCACATTTTGGAATGGAATTGCACTGTATTATCTTATTAGGTATTCAGATCATCATGGTCAGCTAAAAAAAGAAATTCAGCTATGGGGAGAAAAGGTTAGAAATATAGGTTTAAAAAAATTGTTATCTCTAGCTCATGTTCCAGAGAGGCGCAGCTTGGAAATTATCCCAGATGTTATCTAAGTGAGACGTCTGGAGGGGAGACGGGAGCACAGAGCAGAATTAGCTAGAGGTGGACTGTTGAATTTTTAGGGACCGCAGAAACAAGAACCAAAGGAGAGGGCCTGATCCACATCAGTGGTACTGCAGAAATGCAGGGATTTCTGAAGAACCCCACAAAAGAGAGTGGGCTGTAAAATTTTGCCAGGTTCAGGAAGCATGAAGCAAACTCTTACCAATATCAGTCAGGTAAGGACTCTCCTTCACTACCTCTCTCTCCTCAGCCAGTCCCCTCTCCCCAAAATAATTGGAAGCTGCAGATGCCAGTTAGCAGGCTGAGGTACCAATTGGGGGGAAACTAAGAAGATAGCAGAAAGATGCTGGTAAGTTTTTCACTTGCAGCAGGCTCTAACTAAATAAATGAAAAATTAATGTAAAAATAAATGTGGAGTTTTGATAGTTATCTGGAATTAGACAACCCAAGTTTAAAACTGAAATCATGATTGGAGTTTTAAATTGACTATAGGAATTGTAATTGCTTCAGGTTGACCCAAACGTTACAGGACTTTGTAAGTTTTCATTCCAGGTAAGCGGAAGGATAGGAAATTATCCAAAAATATATTCAATTGAATCAGGTTAAGACTTACATAGTTAACATTTCCTTTAGTCACAAAGGACTAGAAAGGAAAATGTCACATGAAATTATAGAGACAAAAATAGGATCTATACTTATAGAAGTATAAGTATCAGGATTTTATATCCCTTTGTGTTGAGCAAATTACCTAAACTGGTCTTTAGCAAAAATGAAATGAGAGCTATCTCTTAGGCAGTAAAGCATCTATAGGTTATTTAAGAAGGAACCTCATCTGTAAGTCCTCTGAGAACAAAAGCATTTTACAGTGGCTTTCAACTAGTTAATGTAATAAAGTATCAAAAGGCAAGATCAATGAACAACAGTGAGCAGAATATTCAAGGAAGCTAGAGGACTGGAAAGAAATTAGGCATAAGGTAAAGTAAAAAACTGAATAATGCTAAATATTATTTGCATTGAAGACAGTTTCAAAATGACGAGTTCTGATTTTGTAATAGTTTTCTTTTGGCAGCTTTTTAAAATATCCTAAAGAGTTGTTAAGTGTATTATTGGTAAGCAACATGGAAGGCAGACATTGTATAGAAACACATAATGAAAAGTTTTGGCTTAGAATTATGTGTTAGTTTATAATTTCACACTGTCCAAAAGTTTTGAGTTTTATGCTACATTCTTCAGTCTCTTTAAAAGTGTGTTGTGATTATCTCTTGCTCTAAAACAACTCATCCCTGATTTTCATGATTTAAAACTACCATTTTATTTTGTTCATGATTTTGTGGGTCAGGAACTCTGGAAGAGCCAGGCTGAGTGATTCATCTCTGATCCATTTGGCAGCAACTGGGGCTGTAGGATCCAGTTCAAAGATGGCTTCTCCTTTCACATAGCTGGTGCCTTGGTGCTCGTGGTCTCTTTCTGTACAGCATTCCATACTCCAGGGCCTCCTGCAAGCGGCCTGAGCATCTCACTTACAGTGGTCTCATGATGGTAGCTCAGGGCTTCAGAACACCAATCCAGAAGGTGCTTGCTCAGGCTGAGGCTGGAACTAAAAACTCATCAGCCCCAAAGCTCCCTATTGGTGGAAGCAGCCACAGTCCAGTTTAGATTCAAGGGGAGGAAAATTAGAACCCACTTCCCCATGGAAGGAGGATCGAAGGATTTACAGCTTTCTTTAGTCCTCCATACAATGGTTCTTAACTTTCTGAGTTTCTGCAGGCTTCTGAGAATCTGATGAAGGTTAAGGGAAAAATGCACTCTCATCACATTTTGTGTGCAGTTTTGGTGGCAATGCTTACCCTGAAGACTTGAATGTCTAAAATAAAGCTGCTTGATGAATGGAATTATAGAAATAGTATTATAATCATTACCCCGATGTCAGATCCCTTGGTCTGTTCACTAAATCCTTATCTCCTTGGCCCTTTCCTTTCCTCCCTAAGCACTCTTGATTTGCCTCTTCCCGACCCTTAACCTTCTCTTCCGCTCCCCTTGAGGTCTGTCTTTGAAAGGATCTTGGTTGTAGTTCAGCAGTTATCATTTCACAAGGTTCATTTCTCTCACGGTAGTAATAAACCTATGAAGTATGACTGGGTCAATATTTCTCCAGATGAGTTCTTTTGTCCATCATTTACACCTAACAGCAGACATTCTGTGACTAGAAAGACAGAAAGGAAATCATCTCCTGCAACATATTTTAATAGCCAGATGTCGCTGCCATTAACCAACTTTTAGGATAAACTTCACAACTGATTGCCTCCTCCGACCCGAACTGTCTACCTGGGTTTTGCTTTTGATCAGCCACAGTAAATATATAGGTTGTTTCTCAGTTTCGTTCTGTAAACATATGATTGCTGCTTCCTGCAGGAATTGAAATTAGGCATCCCAGACTTGGGAATTATTTTCCTGAAACAATCAAAGGCTCCTTGAGCTTTGTCTTTTTATGAGGATGCTCTGCCTCCTGCTCACAGGCCTTGTAATGTAATCTCAAGACACAGCTGCTGTTTCAGAAGAGCTCATTCATGTCAGCAGCAGTTAAAAGGTCCTTTGTTTTCCAAACATGCTTTCCCAGCTTGCCTTGAAGAGCTTGGCAAACAGCGACTGGTACAGCTTGAGGAGAGGAATCTTTATTGTGTGTGGCAGAAAGGGTGTGCCCTGTTCATTTTCAGTCTTGTTCCATGATTTAGAATGGGCACACCTGTGCCTCTTCATGACAATGAAGTTTTAAATATAGAAAATTCTCAGTCATCACTTTGCCACTTTGAGATATGACCTCTTGTAGCAATGAGTTCGTGCATGCTTGTTAGATGGAATGAAAATCATACCACACACTTGGAATCACTGTGTTACCTTGTTTTGTTTTTTTTTACTTTTATTTTTTTAAATTTCTATTTTATATATCAAAATGGATGCATCCTTGGAACTTGAGTCTGACAAGCTTGTTTTTGCCTCTCTCTCAGGTGAGGTGTGCACTACACGATGATATCTCAGGGGCTTCCTGTGTATGCTTCAAGTTTCAGATTATGGGCACCTGGAGAATGAAGAATTGAAGGAGAGACACTGTATGATTTCAGAGAATCCAGGTCTTTTGCCTAAGTCTATCTCACATATCCAATTAGAAAACTTAACACGAGTGTGCTAGATGCTACAGTCTGAATGTTTGTGTCCCCTCCAATTTTCATGTTTGTTAAAACCTAATCCCCAATATGATGGCAATTGGAGGTGGGTATCTTTGAGAGGTGATCAGGTCATGAGGGTGGCACCCTCATAAATGGGATTAGTGTCCTTGTAAAAGAGACCCCAAGGAGCGCCTTCATCCCTTCTGCTGTGTGAGTGTATAGAGAGAAGATGGACCCTGAATATGCTAGCACCTTGGACTTTCAGCCTTCAGAGCTGTGAGAAGTTTCTGTTGTTTAAACTGCACAGCCTATGGTAGTTTGTTGTAGCAGCATGAACTAAGATGCTAGTTTTCTTTTTTCTTTCGTTTTATTGAGATATATTCATACCATAAAATCCATTTATTAAAAGTGTATAGTTTTGTGGTTTTTAACATATTCAGAGCACAGTCATGACCATGTTTTAGAAAATTTTCATACTTCAGAAAGGAAACCTGTCCCCATTAACAGGTGCTCCCTGTTGCCCACCCACAACCCTGGGCAACCAGTCATCTATTTTCTGTCTTTATGGATTTGCCTATTCATTCTGGACATGTGGAATTAATACAATATGTGGTCTTTTGTGACTGACTTCTTTCCCTTGGCATAACGGTTCAAGGTTCATCCATGTTGTGGCATGTAACAGGACTTTGTAATTTTTTCATTGCCACATAATATTCTGTGGTGTGGACAGATGACATTTGCTTATCCAATTATCAGTTGCTAGCCATCTGTATTGCTCCTATTTTTTGGCAATTATAAATAATGTTGCTGTGAGCATTGTGGACACATTTTTGTGTGCACATGTATTTTAATTTCTCATGGTTGTATACCTAGGAGTGGACTTGTTGGGGCATGTGGCAACTTTATGTTTAATATTTTGAGGAATTACCAAACTTAAAAACACATTTCTAAGCTAATAGGCACAAATAAAGGTATAAAATTGGGAAGAACTGACACATTTCCTTAGGTATCACATCAGACTTCAAAAAGATTTGCTTGGCATGTTTTGGGAAAAGCACAGAACACAGAAATTACAAAAGAACTGAATTTATATTTTGCATAATTTCAGATTAAAGATTGCTTAGTTGTGTTTTTGTTTTGTTTTTTCATTTCCCACAAACACTTGAAGTCCACTATCTTCCTAAATCTGCCTCTTGGGGATGTTTTTGTATTCTTGCCTGCAAAAGTAAATGTGAAGACATCCAGGTCAGGCCAATTTATATTAAATGAAATATAGTAGCACATTTCCTCTGCTAACTTCTTGTGCCAACAATGCCAAAAGAAACTGTTTCCTTAAAACAATTTATACAGTTCAATTTTAAGAAAAAAGGAATATGACATACAGAGCTACCACTGAAAAACATCAATTAGTAAGTTCAAAGCTATGCTGGGAATATGGCCCCTCAGTATCATTTCTTTTTCACTTCTACTCACTTATCAATATAGTTATGGTTTCATGAGCATTTGGGATTAAAAGCATTCTTAAAGTAAATATTTACCTTAAATCATTATCTCAAAAACAGAATGATGGCTATATACTTTTCCATGATGGAAGATTGCAAACAGAAGGTAAGACACATAATAGGAAATTTTAGCAAGAATATATCAACAGGAAAAATAATTAGCAGTTTTTGGAGAACATTAAATTTTGCTACTGCCTTTTGTAAATTACTACTGCTCTGCAATTTCATACCCAGGCATCAATATGTTAAAACAACAAAAAGCTTGTTTTTTGTTATTTTTTTCCCCACCCAAGAAAACAAGACAGGGAATCCAGCAGGTGCTTTTTCTGGAGAAAAATGACTTGCATTATGAACATCTTCAATTATTTGCTTCGCTTCATCTAACTTCCTCTCTCGAAGTTCTCATTATTCAAAAATCATTTACCACTAAATTATAGAAAAAAATAGTTTCTCCTAAAGCAGAAGTGAAGTGAAGCTGGGCCTGAGTCAATAAACAATTATGAGGCTCTCAAATCCTCAAAAAAATGCCACCGATGACATAGGACCTGTTGTGGTCTGAGTCGCACGGCACCGGTTTATTGGAGAGAGTCTAGAGGGGCTCGTATTTTCTCTTCCCTGGAACTGATGGTCCCTGTCATCTCAACTTCAGAGAGAGTTTTTCTTTGCAAGAACAAAAACATAGTGTTTGGAGAGTATATGAAAATGCACAGGAGCCTCTTTTTATAAGAAACAGTCCGAAACTTGAATCTTATTATATTTTGGCAAACAGAGCCTAGTACCACTGACTTTCCAGCTACGGTAACCTGGCCCATTGTTCGTGGTTCCAATGGAGGCTTTCTACGAGTCAGGTCTCCGTTCAGACTTGCCTGCCGATGAGTGACGTGGGCAGGTCATTGAGTTTTTTGAACCCTCAGTTTTTCTTTATTTATGAATTATAAGCGCATGTACTATGCTTTTATTTTTTTTGGAAAGATTTTAAAAATATAATAGTATTAACACATGTCATAGGTGGAGGACGCTGTTGGGTTTCCTTACCCTTTCCTTTCCAGGGGAATCCTGATGCTGTTTCAGTGCCATTGTGCCAGGGGATTGATTAGTCATGAGCTTTTTAATGGCATTGTGGAATCTCACTTTCCAGCACCGTGATCGGTTTGGAGGCGATGAAATCCAGTTCTGGCCAATGATATGAAAAGGGAAGGCTTCTGGAGCTTCTAGGAGAGACTGTCCACCCTGGAAGGACAGAGGGCTGAGAAAACATGTTCCCTCTGGTGCTGGAATTTATATGTGGCAGCTAGCAGCCAACTGGCTGTGGCAAAACGAGTATGAAAAACCAAGACTGAGGAAGCACCGTGGGGGTAGAAGCTGGGTCTTCATTGCCATCAGTCAGCAACCATGGTGCTGCCTTGCCCAGCATTTTGTTAATAAACAGTAAAAGGTTTAAACCACTCTGAGTCAGGGTTTCATTATTTGTAGCCAAAACCATCCAACTCAAGAAGCAGACTGTTCCTAATATGTATTAATCAGTATATTTCAAATGGGGTACATTGATATTTAATAAACCACTTTCATTGAATTAATAGAAAATAGCACCCAACTTGATTTCAACTATAATTCTATACTACCTTTTTTTTTTAGAAACTGAGAAATTTAAAAATACTTCTTTCAGAAAAGCGCTAATAGAATTTAGTTGATAGTAATCAGCTATATTTTATTTTAAGACAAAGCAGAAAGCCATATAATCCCAAAATGGAAGGGAATTTAGTAATTATTCTAGAGTGTGAAATTAGGATCATCTTTATGCCTCTGATTAAAGGGTACATTAAAACCGTCTCAAGAGATAGAACCGGGGTTTTAGAATCTTTAAAAAGAAACCGATACAACAGCAAAATTTCTAGATAATGTCTAGGGTCATGTAGTACATTAAGTGGCCAGGTTAATAATTATGGATGTAGGAGGATAGATGCATCCTGGATGGAAAATAACTGATCTTTTATTTTCATCATTTTCCTGAAAGAAAGTAGCTCTTATTTCTGCTTTTAATTACACAGGTAACATTAACCATACAGAAGAAGCCTAATTTTTGTTGTACTATTATTCCTCTACTGGAGATCTTTCTCTTTAATTCTGCTTGTATCTGACAGATCACAAGGCTGAGAGAAATATAACATTTGTGAACATACCAACCCTAGAAGTCGGAAATCTTTTTGTATTTTATTAGACCCTGTAGTATCGAACAGGGATGTGAATCTTCTTTGTCTTTGTCTTGAAAGCTGCAGACAGATACTTTCTATCATTTTCTTAAAAAAAAATTAGTACGAAATGGAATAAAGCTCAGGCAATTTTATATATAGGAGTTAGGGCTTAGTGCTGATGGGTGCTACCTTTCTCCTGGGCGTGGGGGTGAGGTTGGAGCCAGTAGGACAGACTGGCTGAAACCTGCATGCCCTGGAGCCTTCGCCCATTCTCATGAGAGAGCGAGTGGGCACAGTATCATGTGATTCTGGGTGTGAGCCTCTTGGAGCTATTGGATTTAATCATGGCTAAAAATGGCCATATTTCTTGAAATTGAAGCAAATGCTAGTGCTTGTCAGGTTGAAGCCGGTAAGCAGTCACACTTTTTCTTGTTTTCCTCAGACCACATTTCATTTTTACTTCTTTGTAAAAATACACCCCAAATTTGGTAATGTCAAAGTACTTTCGTGAAGTGTTTTTAGTTGAAAAGGAAGACATGTCCTCACATCAATCCTGTGATGTGTTTTTCACTTTAAGTTTACAGATTGGAAAACACGCCCAGAGATTCGCATGTGGTGGGTGGATTTACAGAGCCCAAATGAGCTCCAATTTCATTTCCTCCCCTTTTCTCTCTCCACTCCAGAACTAATGAAGGGTCAGACTTATGGTCCTGTTTTTGGAATCACCGTAATCATTGTCCAAGGAACTGTGTAGATTTATACAGACTGTTCATAACTAGAGGTAGTTTTCCACCAAATAAGAAAATTGCAAATAATGAAAATCTGCTCCAAAGTTATTTAAAATCAAAGTAAGATGTTAGTTATACTTAATGAAAACATGCATGAAGTGTTATCATTTGCACAAGTACTATTACAAACTGTTGAGCCTTACTCTTGGCAGGCTAATAATGGACAAACCTTGCCTTTCTGTCATGTTTCAGGATGAGAATGGAGAAGAAAACCGGCTTAAGGTGGCTGGAAAGCCCTTGGATATTCTAATGCTCACTTGTACATTTTCAGTTCTGTTTCTCCCTAGAGTTTAATGGCTGGGTAAAAAAAATCTCTGGATTTAGAAATCTGAATTGATTTCCATTTTTGCAGCTGCTCAATCTGAAAACCTTAGCACCTTCCTTGAATTTTCTCTTACTCTTGGACCCTATCTTCTACTTGTCACCAAATCCTGCCCCTTTATCTTCAAAATATATCCACACTCTGTCATTTCTCACTACCTCCTCTGCAAACATCCATCCTGCCACCATCCCTCTCACCTGGAGGACTCTACTGGCCTTCAGACAGGTCTGCCTATTTCCTCCCTTGCTCCCTTTAGACTATTTTAAACACCTCGGACAGAATTCTGGTAAGATGTCAGTCAGGTCATGTTACTTCTCCATTTAAACTCTCCAATGGCTTTCCATCTCACTCAGACATTCGCATCTCACCAACTAAGCCCTGTTAGTGGGATACAAGGAGGCCCTGCCCTATGCTCTGCTCCTGCTAACTTTCCGGCCTTGTCTCCGACTGCTTCCACACTTGCTCTATTCCAGTCATTCTGGTCCACTTCCTACATCTTATCTTCAAAGCCTAGATTAGTGGCTGGCACATAGTAGTTGCTCAGTACATTTTGGATAAATAAGTGGTGATGCAGATATACTTTGCGCTCATACCGTCTTCTGAAATCCAAAGAAAAATTGGTTTAAATCTTCCATTTTGTGACTAGCTCCTAATATCTCCCGTGAGTTCTGGGAGATTACATTTCTTTTTAGTTTCCATGGGCTGTGAAGTTCCCATTTCCATTTTGCGTTTTGCTTCCCCATGTGCTTGTCCTTTTCCGTTGCCATGTTGGGCACCATCCAGATTCTTCCCTCACCAAAGTTCTCTGTATAACTATTTTTGTTAAAAATTTGGAATAGTGGAGGAGATGGTAACACCTAAAATTAAATGACCAGGCAACACCTAAATTTAAATTTTAGGTATCAGCTCCCTTAAAAGTCATTAATTTCCGCATTGTGGACGTAGGATAGTTTCATCTACTCACGCTCCAGCCTCTGTACATTTCCTTGGTCCTGTTTTCTCTCTTTGCCAAGGTCCTGCTCTCTGCTTTAGGATATCTGACTATCAGGATATTCTTTCAGCATTGAGCCAAAGTCCATTTCCTATAACTGTTACCTGTTTGTAGATAAAATTAGCTTTTCTAATCTGTGGGGTCCGTTTTGAACAAATAGCACCCCTTTTCCAGTGTGACTCTGTCTTCTAGCATCCTATGAAAGTACAAAAAGTCTAGATACACTTGACTAACATAATTTTCTTAAAAATAAAGACATCATTCCATATGGGAAGTTGTGT